GCAACACTGAACTGTGCCATCTGCTGGAGCAAGCACTGTCCTCAGAAGGACTGGGTGGCCCTATCTTCCGAGGGACCATTGAGTTTACTGCTGCCCTGCGTTTTTATACCATTAGCTCATTTCACGAAGCAACTGAGTACTTGTTCTGCATCCCCCAATCCTTGACCCACAAATGTATCCAGAATGTCACTGCTGTTATTTTCTCCAGACCACATCTCTTCTTATCACTCCCTTTGATGGTGAGAGTCCAGCAGCTCAGGCAGTTCTTTTGATCCTTCTGTCACCAGTTAGAGTACAACAGATTGGAGTTTGCTAAATGTTTGAGCATCCTGTAGGATAATGCTAAACCTGAGCGAGGCAGTACTTTCAGCAGACCATTGCACTGAGGGAGAGTGGAAATGTGAACTGTCCATTGTACACCTCCTAGCCTTGAATGGCGGTGCCTTCCTTTGAAAAGCTGATTCTTACAATGAACTTCAGAGCTGTATGGAATCATCACTGATTCCGTACTCTCACCCTCATTGTGAGTGAAAGTGTGGAATGCTGTATTTGGCCCTGGCATATGACTTTTAGCCTCAACCTTGTCCACAATGAAGTGCGACACCTTGGCTGCAATCAACAGCATTATAGTTCAGAGATCCGTAGCCCCTGATCCTACCAGCAGTTAAGTAGTGGGTTCTTGTGAGAGATAAGCAATACTTGGCCATTACAAATTCTTTCATCCTTGAGGTATCTGAAGAAGGCTGCATTTGCCTCTCATTGGATGCCACTGAACTAGCTCTGAAAGCAATGAAGAAGTGGAGCAGACATTTTAAGAGTGCAAGTAAAAGTGCCATAGTCCCACCCTGATTAGAGACAGACTGGTGGGTTTAACCTGAGGTTCACTGTGCCTCAGGCAAGGGGGGAGGTTGAGAATGTGGGACCTTCATGGTTTCCTCAGCTTGTGCAGGAATTGAGCCCTGACTATTGGTGCCACTCAGTGTTGCAAGCCAGCATTCCAGCTGACTGAGCTAGTCGACATGTTATTATAACTTGGGTGGACATCCCTTGGAGTTTCAGCATGTTGGGGGGAGCGGAATCTGGTGAGAATCTCCTGCCCAAGTGCAATCTCAACCTCTTCAGCTTGGAGGTTTGTAGGTTTTCGCACAACAGGCAAGGAACTGTTGAGGGACTAAACAATTCTGGAGCATCCTAACGAGAAAATGTCTAGTGTTCTTTTCTGTCATTCCTCCTCTTACTGGGTGCCTGCTGCCATCTCCCTGCCTGTGTGAGGGGAAGGCCTCTCAGAGTGATCTTGAGGTCCCTTATTCCCCTCTGACCTTGTCATTGATGCTGAGCATCAATGGCTACAGAGATGGAGTGCAGGTCTGTCAGCATAACATTCAGACACTGAATGTGCTAGACCTGGCTGTCTGCAGTGGTCACTTCCACTCCATGGAGACAATCGACCCATTGAGTCTGTACCACCAAAAATACACTGGTCCCACTTTGCTGCACCAGGCCCAGAACCTTGAATGTTACAACATTTCAAGTGCTCATCCAAGTACTTTTTAAAGATTGTGAGGCTTCCTGCCTCAACTACCCTCCTATGCAGTGCAATCCAGACCTCACCAACCTCCTGCCCTTCACTTTAAAGATCTAAGACGTTGCCAGAGCCCTACCATCCAGAGGCTAATAGACAGTGCAGACTAGTCACTCATATTCTGCAGGACTGTATGCACAACCTGCCTCCCAAGAGGAAAACAAAGTGTCCCGAGTAACATCCAGAGAGAGCTTACAATTATGATAGCACCCTACACTCATCTATGGGCTGCTCTCAACACAATCTGATCTCTCTACAAGACCCAATCCTTCCTGTGCACTCTCTACTTGGACTCCTTGTGTCAGAAATCCAGGTCAACAAGTGATAGTCGTGTTGAGAGCATTGGTGGACACTCCCATCTTTTGATCCAGTTTGTTGGCTTCCTCTGTCAAACCTACAGGCTGTTCCTGAGCCTGTCTGCACACAGTCATGAATGGTTGAGAGCTGAGGCTGATCAGGTGCTGGGTCTCTGGCAGACCTGGACGTTTCTTTCTCAACCAGCTGCAGAGATGTGGCAGTGTTGTGCTCCTGAGTCTAATACAGAAAGAGATGGCAGTCTCTGAGCTGGTGGAGGATGCAGGTGACTGCTCTGCCAGTGCTGCTTCTGAGGATGGAGCAGTGTCTGCTGAGAGGTTGAGGGGGACCTGACGGTCTCTTAGGGGCAGAGGTTCGCTTGATACCTCTACACCTGCACAAGACAGGAGAGGAAATTTGTTGTGTAAGAAAGATAAAGGCTTCTGTAGGTTAAGAATAATGTGTTGGGGATAATAGGAGATGCAATTCCTTCCTGCCCCACACTGTGCATTGTGATTTATCTTGGACTGCACTGACCCAGGTTGTTATCTCCATCCAGGCTGGCTGAGTCTGGTGGCATGGCCTCTTTTGCCCACCAGGAGGATGCAGCACTGCCCTCCCCTTCTGTCCACCAGCACCTCCAGGTTCCTGTCAGTGAACCGAGGGGCTAACTTGCCTTTCTTGGGAATCACCTTGATGGGGATCATGGTGCACAACTGTTAGGGCAGCAACTGGATTGCAACTTCTGAAATGATATGTGGCCTGGGTTTAACTATGGCACCTGCAGCATGAATGTTGCCAAGTCCCAGCTGTGGTGGGCAGTTCCACCTTGCCAGCTGGGCAATTCCATGATACAGGCATCAAGGCCAGTGGCGTAATTAATGAGATAAAGAGCCAAGGATTGCATGGCTAAAGTTGCCATGAGCCATGGTGGAATGGGCACCATGAATCCCACTCAAAAAAAAAACACTTTGCCTTAAGCTGGTAAATTCAGCCCAAAGTTAAGGTTTCAAGTCAACCTTTCAGGATAATGGCCAATTAGGTAGATTTGCAGAAGATTCAGGCCGAAAAAAAATGCTGGAGATCAGTGGCTCAGGCAGCATCCATATAGAGAAAGCAAGCTAATGTTCCCTGTGGTTTCCCAGTCTTATAAATCCCTCCTCAGTATATCCACTGAGTTAAGTTTCAAGAAACCTTTGTGTCGTGTTTAACACATTGAAGACGTTCCTGGCACAGTTATTCACACTGGGATGCTTTGCATGGTGTGAAAGCTGTACACACAAATGAACATAATCTGGGTAGAAACTGGTACCATTCATGGTGGGTCGGTTGCTGTGTGCTTTGATAAATATTGAAAGATCTACCACTGGTTCCTCAGTCACAAGACAGCAGTTTTTTTTGTTTCCGTGGAGGGGAATACTGAGAAATACTGTGAGTTCACGCAGTCCACTTGTTTATTTCTGGTAGACCTGTGTGAAGGTTTTTACAAAGTATTGACCGCAAAGAGGAGAAATAATTTCTAATTTTTGATCATTCGCTCAAGACACACCATTTCTGAGTAAAAAGGTTCCCAACATCTGCATCCCCTATGGCCTTGACTGTTTCAGTTCTTCCAAACACTTGCTTAATCCTAATTCCCCTTCCTCTTCCATCTTGGGAACAACGTACACTGAAATTTTTATTGTCAGTTTTGGATCTCTGAATTTGAGAATTATTTGAGAATTCTCACCACAGCTTTTATAGAATACTGTGCTTGCAAAATATTGAGGTTTCAGCAGACATTCATAATTTAAGTGTAAACTAGTTTAAATACAGAAGCTCTACTTTTGCATGAATCCATCTGATAAATGCACTCTCTTGCAACAAATCTTCTGGGTGTCTTGGTGTTAAGCAGACAGTTGCTACCAGGAAATGTGCTCTGTGGGTTTGCTGCCACTTTGGATAAGATCACTGTTGGGTTGAGAAGTTGTACAGGTATCTCACTTTCTAACATCTCTAGTGGCAAATGGCAGAATTTGGAATTTCACTGCCTACATCACTTTCATTATATGCTTTTCGAAAAATATCACACCGTTTCTGCTTCCCTGAATGAAGCCTCATGTTCATTTTTTGTCTAATGCTTTCTCAGCCTAGGTTCTGAACTCTGTGCAATGTTGAAAGCTAAATTAAAAGCAGAGCACTGTAACCGATAAAAAAGACAATAAACATGATTGTTGAGAAGAGAAGATAAGGTTTAGGTTAAATGAGTGGACACAATATCTCTCAGATGGTGTATAATGTGGAAAAATGTAAAGCTCTTCACTTTGTCAGGAAGAACAAAAAAGTAGAATCTTAATTAAACAGAGAATGACGGCAGAATACCCAGGTGGAGTTGGATTCGCATGTTCTCGTATTTTGCCTGAGTCACAAAAGATTTTCTTTTTGTTACGCAAAAGGTTAGTCTGCAATAACTAAGAAGGCTAATAGAATGCTTTTCTTTACTATGAGAGGAATTGAACATAAAAGTGAGGAAAGTATCCTTAAGTTAACAGGGCATTGGTGAAATTGCTGTTTGGTGTGCAGTTTTGCTTTCTATCTTTAAGCAAGAACATAAACATCTTACATACAGTCTGTTAATAGGTGGTTTACTAGAATGGCACCTAAAATGAGATGCAAAGGTTGGACAGGCTAGTCTTGTTTCCACTGGAGTTTGGAAAGGTGAGGGGCAACTTGATTGAAATGTATATGTTCTTGAATGGTCTTCACGAAGTCGATGTGGAGATGATGTTTTATTTTGTTGGCAAGCCCAGAACTGGGGGATCTGCTTAAAAGTTAAGGGTTGCCCTCTTAGAACAGAGATGAGAAGTTTATTTTTCTCTTAGAGTTGAGAAACATTGGAACTCTCCATCAGATTGTCTTACAGTTAGATTCTGGTTAGGCAGGGAATCAAAGGTTATTATGCTATAGGTAGGAATGTGGATTTCCAAACACAAATCAGCCATGATTTTATTGAATGGTGGAACAGGTTCGAGGAGCCAAATAGCCTCTTTCTGCTTTGAATTTGTATGTTTGTATAATGATTGCATGAGATCACGAGTTAAATCTTTGAAATTTACAATAACCCTGATTTGTTTTTCAGAAATAGACTATCTCCTATCCACAAATTTATAACCTTTACCAACATCACTGGCACTTCATACACAATTCAACGAAAATTACTTTACATTTCGGAAAATACAACAATATGGGTAGAAACAGTGGAACAGAGAAGTAAAATGTGCCAGAGAACAAAGTCCATCACACTGATACCTAAAGATTCAGGTAATAAACTTGAACTTCTGGTAAGCATCTCATTCATGTTTCGGTTTCTTGAACTGTTTTCTCCAAAGGACCCAATCATAAGACATCAATTCCTGTTTCTAAATAAATGCTTATCAAAGAGCAAGGAAAAAAATAGTAATTGGATAAAAACAAATCGTACAGTTCAAGTCTCAAAGCTTTTCTAAATAGTACTCAAGAACCTTATTTTTTGCTGAAGTGTCATGTCACATTTTTAGCACAGTTGTTTCTGTGGTAAAGTTAATAATACAAACTGTTTTCAATAATTCAGTGTAGGATCACTATAAAGGTCTTTACTTAAGACTGAGAGCATTTCTTCCAATAAACTGGTGAGAAAGACTCAGAGCATTTCTTCCAATAAACTGATGAGAAGTCTTTTTGAGTCCTCAACTAAAACATTTGGAACAAGTTTAACTTTTCAAGGGCCTGCACACTTACACTGGAAGTTGAAAATTTACACCATTTGTGCAGAATTGCAAATCTAATGCCAATTTATGATCAGTTGGGAAGTTACAATTACTCCTGTAGTAGAGTTTATTTTAAGAAGCATTGCACCTCATGTACCAATTCACGAAGCCAGCAATAACCAGTTCTTTAACCGGCAAAAGTCCCCATTGGCACGTGCCCACCTTCTATACAGTACATCATATTAATGGCTGATTTAAGGTCAAGATCTTTATGTGACAATGTCATAGAGTAATTAAATTGTTATGGGAGGCTGGTGCTCCCATTGTTGTGTTCCTTTTTGCCATCTCACAATTGTCTGACAATAGATTCTTGCCTTTTCAGATTTTGCCAAAAGACAGCTCCATCTTTAGCTTTGGCCTTAAACATGGTTGTATTCTTTTTACTTATCATAGAATCCCCACAGTGTGGAAGTAGGCCATTTGGCCCATCAAGTCCACACCAACCCTCCAAAGAGCACCCCACCCAGACCTAGGCCTGTAACCCTACATTTACCACAGCTAATCCACCTAACCTGCACATCCCTGGACACTATGGGCAGTTTACCATGGCCAATCCACCTAACATGTACATCTTTGGAATGTGGGAAGAAACCGGAGCACCCAGAAGAAGCCCACACAGACACGTGCAAACTTCACACAGACAGTTACCTGAGGGTAGAATTGATCCCAGATCCCTAGTGCTGTGAGGCGGCAGTGCTAACCACTGAGCTAACGTGCTGTCCAGTGATATTTTTAGACATATGACACATGTGTCCAGTGTAACTTTCTGCTGTCACAATCTTGTTATGTTTTAAGATCTGTTGTACTTTGAATTCAATATTGGTCAGTTCTTGTCATTCTATCATTCCTCTTACAAAGGCAAGCTGTATCTGCTTCTTTGTCCCCGTTGAGTTCCCGTTCTCAGGCACATAAGCATATGCCATCTGACACAAGACACTTTATGTTCTCTTTCCCATGTCCTGTAATATTTGACCTCCTCTGAAGAGATTTTGTACTCCATAATTACTCAAAAGAAATGTGATAAACCATAAGACATAGGAGCAGGAATTAGGCCATTTGGCCCATTGAGTCTAGTCTGCCATTCAATAATGGCTGACAAGGTTCTCAACCCCAGTCTCCCGCTTTCTCCCCGTAACATTTGATCCCCTTGACAATCAAGAACCAATCTATCTTTGTCTTAAGTATACTCAATGACCTCACATCCATAGCCCTCTGTGGCAATGAATTCCACAGATTCGCCGCTTTCTGGCTGAAGAAGCTTCTCATCTCTGTTATAAAGGGTGTCCTCTTTACTCTCAGGCTCTGCCCTCGGGTCCTAGTCTCTCCTGCTAATGGAAACATCTTCCCAACATCTGTTATGTCCAGGCTGTTCAGTATTCTGTAAGTTTCAATTAAATCCAGCTTCATCCTTCTAAACTCCAGTGAGTATAGACCCAGAGTCCTGAAACGTTCCTCATATGTTAAGCCTTTCATTCCTGGATTTACTCTGAACCTGGTCCAGGGCCAGAACATCCTACGCGAGGTATGGAGCCCAAAATTGCTCATAGTACTCTAAATGTGGTCTGACCAGACCTTTAAAAAGCCTCAGAAGTACATCCCTGCTTTTATATTCTAGTCCTCTTGAGATAAATGCCAACATTGTATTTGCCTTCCTAACTACCGACTCGATCTACAAGTTTACCTTGAGCAATCTGGACAAGGACCCCCAAGTCCCTTTGCACTTCAGATTTCTGAATGTTCTCCCCATTTAGAAAATAGTCTATGGCACTATTCCTCCTACCAAAGTGCATGACCTCACACTTTCCCACGTTGTATTCCATCTGCCACTTCTTTGCCTACTCTGCTAACCTATCTAAATCCTTTTACAGCCTCCCTGCTCCTCAATACTACCAGTCCATCTAGCTATCTTTGTATCATCTGCAAACTTAGCCAGAATGCCGTTAATTCCTTTACCTAGATCATTAATGTATAAAATAAAAAGTTGTGGTCCCAACACTGACCATTGTGGAACACCACTCATCACCGGCTGCCAACCTGAGAAAGACCCTTTTATCCCCGCTCTCTGCTTTCTGCCAGACAGCCAATCTTCTATCCATGCTAGCACCTTGCCTCTAGCACCATGGGCCCTTATCTTGCTTGGCAGTTTCCTGTGTGGCACCTTGTCAAAGGCCTTCTGGACGTCCAAGTAAATAACATCTATTGGCTGTCCTTGATCTAACCTGCTTGTTACCTCCTCAAAGAATTCTAACAGATTTTTCAGGCATGACCTCCCCTTGATGAAACCATGCTGACTTTTCCCTATTTGACCATGCACTTTCAAGTATGCAGAAATCTCATCCTTCACAATGAACTCCAAAATCTTACCAACCACCGAGGTCAGGCTAATCGGCTTATAATTTCCCATCTTTTGCCTTACTCCCTTCTTAAACACGGAGGTTATGTTAACGATTTTCCAATCCTCTGGGACCCTCCCTGACTGCAGTGATTCCTGAAAGATCACCAGTATGCCTCCATTATCTCTTCAGCTATCTCTTTCAGAAATCTTGGGTGTAGCCCATCTAGTCCAGTTGATTTATCCACATTTAGACCTTTAAGGCTCTTGTGAAGAATTGTAGCTTGGGTTGTGGGTGAGGTTGTTGACTTGCTCACTGAGCCAGCTGATTATAATTCAGATGTTTCGTCACCACGCTAGGTGACATCATCAGTGCGGCCTTTGATGAAGCAATGTTGTTCTACTCTGCTTAGTATTGTTGTTGGGTTGGTCTGTTGAATGCACTCGAACAACGAAGGCCATCAATTTGACTGGGATGACGTGACCATCCTAGCACAAGCCAACCACAGACACGCCTGGGAATTCCTAGAGGCCTGGTTCTCCACCAATAATGCAATCAATAGACATGTGGAATTAGACCCCATATACAAACCCTTGCAAAAAAGAACCGGAAATGACACAAAGCACTTCAACAGACCAGATCATATAAATACTAAACAGAGTAGAACAACATCACTTCATCGGAGGCCGCACTGATGATGCTACCTAGCATGGTGACAAAACGTCTGAACTACAACCAGCCAGCTCAGCGAGCAAGTCAACAACCTCACCTTTAGACCTTTCAGTTTTCCTAGCCTTCACCTTTGTGATGGCCACCATACTCACCTCTGCTCTCCAATTCTCTTGAATTTTTGAGATTTTACTTATGTCTTCCACCGTGAAGACTGATGCAAAGTACTTATTCAATTCCTCAGCCATTTCTTTGTTCTCCATTACTATTTCTCCAGTATCATTTTCCAGCAGCCCAATGTCTACTTTTGCTTCTCTTTTGCCCTTTATATATCTAAAACTCTTGCTTTTTTTTAAATATTACTGGCTAGCCTGCCGTCATACTTAATCTTCTCCCTTTTTATTTATTCTTACATTTCTTTTGTTGGTCTCTGTAGGCTTCCCAATCCTTTGGTTTCCAACTGCCCTTCACCATATTGTATGCTTTCTCTTTTGCTTTTATGCTATCCCTGACTTCCCTTGTCAGCCATGGTTGCCTTGTCCTCCCTTCAGTATGCTTCCTTTTCCTAGAGATGTATTTTTGCTGTGTCTCCCGAATTACTCCCAGAAACTCCTGCCATTGCTGTTCCATTGTCTTTCCTGCTAGGATCCTCTTCCAGTCAATTCTGCCTAGCTCCTCCCTCATGCCTTTATTCAACAGTAATACTTTTACATCTGATTCCACCATCTCCCTCTCAAATTGCAGAGTAAATTCAATCATTCACTGTCTCTTAAGGGTTCCTTCACATTAAGCTCTCTTATCAAGTCTGCCTCATTACACAACACTAAATCCAGAATTGCCTATTCCCTCATGGGCTCCACCACAAGCTGCTCCAAAAAACCATCTTGTAGACATTCCACAAATTCCTTTCCTTGCAATCCACTACCAACCTGATTTTCCCAGTCCAACTGGCATATTGAAATCACCCATGATCACTGTAAGCTTGCCTTTCTTACATGCCATTTCTAAGTCTTGCTGTATCTTGTGCCCCAAATCCTGATTACTGTTTGGAAGCCTGTACATAACTCCCATTATGGTATTTTTCACCTTAGCGGTTCCTCAATTCTACCCACACAGATTCTACATCATCTGACCCTACTTCATTTCTTGCTATTGATTTAATTTCATTTCTTACTAACAAGGCAATCCCACCCCTCTGGCCACCTGCCTGGCTTTTCGATAGGATATATGTCCTTGGGCTATTTTGCTGCCAATCCTAATGCCCTTGCAGCCATGCCTCCGTGATGCCCACCACTTCATACCTGCCAACTTCAATCTACGCCAGAGGCTCATTTACCTTATTTCATTTACTGCGTGCATTCAAATACAACACCTTCAGTTCTGTATTGACTGTCCCTCTTCTCATTGTGATTCATTTATTCAGTGTGTTTCAGATTTGATTCCTAACTCTTTCCAAACACTCTGTCCTATTTTATGTGCTGGAGACTTTAATAACCTCTCCTGAGTTCCCCTTTCTTTTCTTTTTTTTTCATATTTTACCATGCAGTTGAATCCACCCCCACAGATGTTAACCTGCTGCTTTGATTCCCATTAGCCATTATACTTCTTGACACTTTATCCTTCCCTTTCCCCCCACTTTCTAGTTCTTCTTTTCCCCTGGACATTTGGTTTCCTACATTCACTCCGGACCGTCTCTGTTTGTTTTTTTCTCTCTTGATCTTGGAAGCCCGCTTTCTGGTTAGAAATGTGTAATTACGCTAACATTTGTGATCACCAAGGCTTCTTCAGCTGGACTATTGAAATGCACGACCTTCCATATTTAGTATGACCAAGTCGGGAAGTGCATGTGAGCACCATCATCTGCAAATTCTCCTCCAAGCTACACATCTTCCCAAAAAAGGCTGGCCAGGCTTGCAATACCCACATAAATGTATTTTTTTAAAAAAAAAACCTTTTTTCTTCTTCACAATTTAGTGTTACCAAAAGAAGCCAATATACAACAGCTGAAAGGCAACTAGGAATGGGAAATAAATCCCTGCATTGCTAATGATTCCCATAACCTCTGAATGAATTAAAAAAGAATTCTATCTATCTAGCAATATGCTGTATATAGTATTCACCTCTGTATACCATTAGCCTGAGTGCCTTAATGTGGTATCTGCAACTATCTCTTACTGTTGCTCCCATTGTCTATTAATCTCCATCACATAACATTGCTGATTATTCCTGTTCCCAGTATCTGCTTTCTGTCATCCCAATGCTTTAATCTACCTTCATCCTGTTGTATTTGGTTTACAATGGGGCCTTTATGATGAATAAGATTAAACAGCTTTGTATCCTTATTACAATAATAGCTGTGGAAAGAATCTATAATTGCACAAAATACGAAATGTTTTACATTCAACCTTCCATTTTTATCTCTCTTCCATGCAATTGTGACATTTTTTCTAACTCCAAGCAACAAGTCTCTTTTAAATGCCCAGTAAATATTATTCAAATATTAATTTCATTGCAAAAATAAACAGTGTAATGACATTCTTGAAAACATGACAGTATTATAGGAGCAAATTACCGCAGATGCTGGAATCTGTACTGGAAACAAATGCTGGAAATCACTATGGGTCAGGCAGCATCCGTGAAGAGAAAGCAAGCTAACATTTTGAGTCTAGATGACTCTTCTTCAGAGCTAACCTGCTGTGATATCCAGCATTTTTTTGTTTACGACATGACAGTATTGTCGGTTTTCCTTTCAGTAGAACAGATGAGCAAGTATCTGGAACAAAACAGAAGTTGCTGGAAAAGCTCAGCAGGTCTGGCAGCATCAGTGAAGAAAAAATCGGAGTTAACGTTTCAGGTCCCGTGACTCTTTCTCCAAACTGGAACTAGTTCTGAGGAAGGATCATGTTAACTCTGATTTTTTTCTTCACAAATGCTGCCAGAGCTTTTCCAGCAACTTCTGTTTTTGTTCCTGATTTACAGCATCCACAGTTCTTTCATTTTTTATTGAGCAAGGATCTGAATGGTTATTAATTATGTATTGCACTAACTGTGCTGGTCTTGTAGAATGAAAGTTGTGAATGTAAAATTGAGCCAAATCATTAAGATTATCAGAGAAGCCGATGGTTTTTCTTGTCATTGAGGACAGTACAGTATCTGTACTGATAGGAGGCCACATTTGGGAAGGATAAATGCACCACAAAAATTACATCACTGCACTTCAATTTCAATTGGTGTGTTCTGATTGTTTCAGAAAAACCTGCAACACCTTCTGACATAAAGTACAGGAAAACAGCTGGACAGTTAAATCTGACATGGAGTACTTCAGAGAAACTGCAGTATGTGTTAGATTACAGGAAGGCTGGAACTTCCAACTGGCTTTCAGTAAGTAAAGCAAATCTTTGGAACCACAAATTGATATTTACTCATAAACCAAATGTCTTGCAATAAGTAATACAGATAATAAAGCTAGGAACACTGGAAAGCTGCAGTTACGCATGAAAGAGTTGAAAAAGCATATTACATGGTTCAATACTTTATTAGTCTTGGAACTCTCTCATAGCATTTTCCATATAAGTGGAACACTGGAAGTCTGAAAGAGGCTGCAAACACTGTTAAGGTGAAAATCTCAATCTATTTTTGGGTAACATGCTTGGGGGGGAATGTTGATTCGGACATCTAGAGAACTCCCTACTCTTCTGCATTTGGTGTTATTGGGAATTTTAAAAGACACTTATTCAACTGAACAGGCAGCTGGGGTCTCTTTCACATGTAGATTGAAGCCAGCGAACTGAGAATGCATTCGCTCAATTTGGATTATGAGCTCACTCTGGCAGGCACAGAATTTGAAACAACATTTCCACCAGTAAGTCAGCATGCTACCAACTAAGTCAAGCAAACAAACAGGGAAAAATCAATAGTCCCACCAAACATTAATTTATAGGCAGCAATTTTAGCCACTGATTGCAAAAGAGGGCCAATAAACTGGCCCCACCCTCACGATTTCAAACTGAAGTCAGTAGAGTTGCAAATCAGGTAAGGCATGGAACAGGCAGACATTCCTAATCACCAGTTTACTTTTGTACACTTTTGTACACATTTTTTTCCGGGTGATATTGATGCTTGTGTCTATCATTGCTAATATTGGGGTAAGTTGCATTATTTTGTAGTTTATCAAGTTGAAACATTAAAATGAACTACTTTGAAAGCAAACAATAGACATATTGCTGGAGAAATTGAATACCTATGAAGAGAGAAAAGAGATAATGTTTCGAGTCCTGTGACCTTTCTTCAGAGCGCGACCAGAAACTTAAACTTGGTTTTCTCTTCACAGATGCTGCCAGACCTGCTGAGCTTCTCCAGCAATTTCTGTTTTGTATTTCAGATCCAGCTAATGCCATTCTTTGTTTCATTTTACATTTGAAGCATGCTGACTCATTATTTAGTCAACTTAATTATTTTCAGCAGTGTTTGTTTAATTTTGTTAAAATGAACACTGAAGCAAAACTGTGTCCAGAATGGGCACAGCAAAGGTTTTGTGTGCTGGCCTGTGATTCAAGCTATATTTGACTTTGTTTGGGCCTCATTTAATTATTACCAGTAAAATGCAGCTCAAGGGATGTGGAATATTGAGATAATATTTGTAAAATTCAGTTGTAAGAAGTGTAACAAATTGCATACTTCACACATTCTGAATTGAAGCTTCTACTCCAGTATTGTTGCACAAGGAAGTATCCTGCCTCTGGACTGAAAGTTCCAGATACAAGCCCCACTTCAGAACTTGATGGCTAAAGAAGGTGTATTCAAACCCAGCTAAACAGGTTAACTATCAACAAATCCTTCTAGCACACACCAATGGCAAGTAGTAAGAGCGGGAAATTCATGGTAGGCCTTGTGATGGGAAGAATGTTAGAGCCTCTGGCATAGATCCAGCTATAACATACATGTAACAATGCATGTTGCCACAGCAATACACGGTCCCCGGCTTAACAAGAGCACACCACACTAGTATTGAAGCTCAGAAAGCTAATTCCGGAAAGGGTTTCTTTTCGATCAGTGATTGAATAAATTGTACAGACAGGACTTTTCAGTCTCTCCTGACACCACTAAACCTGGAAGTAATGTTTCCACCAATTGCAAATTGCTTCCTCACCAGACTCCATGATTAAAACAGTAGAAATGCCTTTAAGCTGCAATGAGACATGATAATTATGCCAGGCCAATGGTTAACATGGATATTAAAGATAGTAGTATGTGGGGATGAAATTAAAGATTCAGATTTTCCTTGTTAGCTAAGAGTGAGCAGTGGGTTCATCTTTTTAAGAGAAATTATGTTTTAAATCTATAATTTGCACCGTTTTAAGTACATCAAATGGTCAGCTCTGAATATGTACAGGCGAAAGCATGGACCAGAAAGGAAATGACACATTTTGGTGTTGAGATGACGTTGTGAACCACAAAAGTAAAAACTTGAATTTGTTTATTGACCCCCTTCCCAGCGTTGACATGTGTCACAGCTTTAAAAGTACTTGTAACTCTGATATATGCAGACAGCATGCAGGAACGGCTTGGCAGTATGCTATCAGTCAGCATTTGTTCTTCTGTTTTTAGCAAGTGCTTTGATAGCAGCAACAAAACGATGCCTGTGATCTGAATAACTGTAGCATTATACAAAGTAAGTAGACTCATATTGGTGGACTACTATTAGACTGCAATTCTTTTCAAGCTTTAACACATGATTTGCCTCTTTATGTGATACCATATAAAAGCAGAAGCATGTTGCTATTATATTACATAATTTGAGCTGCAGCAGCATTAATATTTAAATTCATTGTGTGGTACAGGAGATTACCAAATGAACATAAAACAGCCCTTCTCTGTGAATTACATGTAAATACTGGTGAGAAATTGTGTTCCATCACTCCCTCCCCCAACCGCTGCCACCACCAACACCATTCTTCCCCTGAAGAAGTTGCTAGGGATAGCTGCACAGACAGGAAAAGGGACTGAAGAACGGAAGGTCTCTGTGCACTTGGGTTGAGTGAGACAGAGATTGTGGTAAGGGACCCAGATATGAAGGGAAAAATTATTTAGGCCACTACTACTTTTTAAAATCGTGCTCCCATATACTTAGCCTCAAACTGCAGCTCCTGCCTTCTTCTGTGCCTGCTCTGCCCCTTTAAAGACCTTTTCTGTACATATGAATGTACTAATTTGGAACTGGAATAGGCCCTTGAGTCTATTCCACCAGTTAAAAAAATTCATAGCCTCAACTTCACTTTTCTGCCTTTACCTGACAACCTTTGACCCCTGTGTTAATCAAGAATCTGTCCATAAAAGCAAAATAGTGCGGATGTTGGAAATCTGAAACAAATGGAGAGAATGCTGAAGAAGCTCAGCAAGTCTGGCAGCTCTGTGGAGAGAGAAACAGTTAATGTTTCGAGTTCAGGATGACTCTCCTTCAGAACTCCAGTTCAGTTCAATGCAGATCTGAAGAAGAGTCATTTCATTCACAAAAGGCTAACTCTGTTTCTCTCTCCACAGATACTGCCCAACCTGCTGAGAATCTGTCTATATCCACCTTAAAAATATTTAATATAGAATCCCTACAGTGCAGATAAAGGCCATTTGGCCCATCATGTCTGCACTGACCTTCTGAAGACCATCCCACCCAGATCCACCCCTTCACCCTATCCCTGTAACCCTACATGGGGTTTTACCCCATGGCTAAATCACCTAACCTGGACATCCCCAAACACTACAGGGCAATTTAATAATGCCATTCCGCCCAACCTGCACATCTTTGGACTTTGCACACATCTTTTGAATACAAATCTGCTATTACTGATGGTCCACAGCTTCTCATGCATGCCCAATTCTGATGTGCTAGATCTGTTCCTTTATTCCTTTATTCATTAATGGGATGAGGGTGTCACTGGCTAGGCCAGCATTTATTGCCCATCCCTAATTGCCCAGAGGGCAGTTAAGGGTCAACCACAGAGCTGAGGGTCTGGAGTCACATGTAAACCAGACCAGGTAAGGACAGGAGTTTTCTTCCCTGAAGGACATTAGTGAACCAGATGGGTTTTTTCTCAACAATCAGCAATGGATTTATGGTAATCATTAGACTCTTAATTCCCGATATTTATTGAATTCAAATTCCATCATCTGCCATGGCAGGATTCAAACCCGGGTCCCCAGAACATTATCTGGGTCTCTGGATTAACAGTCCAGCAATAGTGCCACGAGGCCACCGCCTCCCCAGTATGTTCAAAATCTGTACCATTTAGCACAGAAGTGCCACTCAACACAGGACAGGAGCTCCTCAGGGTAGTGTCCTCGGCCCAACCATCCTCAGCTGCTTCATCAATGACCTTCCCTCCGTCATAAGATCAGAAGTGGGAGTGTTCCCTGATTATTGCACAATGTTCAGCACCATTCACTACTTCTCAGATACTGATGCTGTCTATGTCCAACTGCAGCAAGATCTGGACAACATCCAAGCTTCGCCACACAATGCCAAGCAATGACCATCCTCAATAAGAAGCTAGCTAACCACTACCCCTTGACATTCAATGGTGTTACCATCAACAAATATGCCACAATCAGCATCCTGAGGGTGACCATTGACCAGAAACTGAACTGGACTCACCATATAAACACAGTGGTCAGAGGCTAGGAATATTGCAGTGAGTAACTCACCTCTTGACTCCCCAAAGCCTGTCCACCATCAACAAAAGGCAAGTCAGGAGTGTGATGGAATTCTCTTCACTTGCCTGGATGTGTGCACCTCTAACAATATTCAAGAAGGTTGACACCATATGAACAGGAGTAGGCCATTCAGCCCCTTCAGCCTGTTCCAGCATTCAATGAGATCATGGCTTAACTGTGGCCTAACTCCATATAGGACTTTGGTGTATTTTCTTAGATACCTTTTGCTAACAAAAAATGTCTATATCAAATTTAAAATTAACAGTGATCTAGCATCCGCTGCCATTTATGGAAGAGAGAGAAAGTAGCCTTCTTTATTGGTACCACATTCACTAACATTCACTCCCTCCTTCACTGACTCTCAGGAACAGCAGTATGTACCATCTATGAGATGCACTGCAGAAATTCACCCAAGATCCTGAGACAGCACCTTCCAAAACCCACATCCATTTATAAGGACAAGAACAACAGTTATATGGGAACAATACCTGCAAGTTCCCCTCCATCCTGACATGATAATATATTGCCATTCCTTCACTGTCACTGCATCAACATCCTGGAATTCACTTCCTCGTGGCCTTGTCAGTCAACCTACAGCACATGGACTGCAGCGGTTCAAGAAGGCAGCTCACCTCCACCTTCTCAAGGTCAACTAGGGAAGGGCAATAAATGCT